GTCACACTAAGTGGACCAGACTAGAAAATCAACTTCACAATTGTATTTATTTATATCGGCTATAATAATAACAGTTTGATCATGCTTTTCATCTCCTCCTTATAATCCAGTGAATCAGGGACTCGTTTGCCTCACCTGCTTCCAAATATTACTGTCATGTGTCTGATTAACGAAACACTTAAAAGGACTTTCAGGCATATTTTTCCTAAAAGCATTTATTAAGGTTACAGAGACGTCAGTACAGCATGGTGGAAATGCTTAGATCTGGCTGCTTCTTTTCCGTTACACATATATATTCTTAGCATTCCCCCCCCCCTTTTATTTTGGGGTCATGGTTCACATCTTCCAATTAACTTGGAAGATGTGATTTACTTCCGGTTTCTTTTTCCCGGGCTATCCTTATTCTCCTCCCTTTTTCCCTGTTGCCTGGTTTAACTATAAAAATACCAGACAGTTCTGCATATTGTCAAAGCAAGAATATACAGTATTTGCAGCGTTAACAATTACCTTGCTTCCCAAACTTAAAAAATGTTTAGTACTCTTTACCTATGTAGCAATTCTTGCACATTTTTGCCAAGGTCATCTACAATTTATACATGAATATATTTAATACTGCCTGCTTTGGCTTGAGTTTACGCATTCGTTAGGAGTTAGGGCTTGATAAGGGTCCCTTCTACCAAGTAATTGCAATTACAGAGACTCTGTTATTGAGCTTCTCAGTGTTGCCCACTTGTGAGCCAGCTTGCCCACGATATCTGAACTGCTTCTTCCTCACTGAGCATTCAAGCAGCTTGGTGGCATGATTTTGCTTCAATATTTCTCTTGTTTGATGCAAGTTACTCAGAACCCTTTGAAGAAGAGCAGCATTCAAGCTTTAGCATGTTAGTACATAAATAAATAGATTGACATGCTAATAAAGAAGACGCCAGGCAAGGGTTTTTGGTCAGAGCATCTACAGTTAGTCTTATTACTTATTAAGATACCTCTCCTGGTATCTTCTACTTCATTTTACTTCTTTGGGTCGCCTCTAAGTTACAGTTTTTTCAAAGGATACCAAGCTTTGAGCAGTGCATATGGGAAAATGCAACAATTAAGTATCCTAAATTGTTTTTAAAGGCTTTAAAGCTGATGGCAGGGCAATTCTGGAAATTGAAGGCCACATTCATTAAAGTTGCCAAGGTTGAGAAATATTGCTTTAAAAGAAAAAAAAAACCCCTTCTGTTACATTGAAGATCAAATTTCTAATTTTGGCTACTTTGTGATCCAATTTTGTCAGTTGATGCCAAAGTAGGAGTGAAGCCTTAATTGGTTTATTTTAATAATTGCATTTAGTATAGCTAGTCCTTTCTAATAACTATATTTGTTAAATTGTTTTTTAAAAACACGTCTCAACCATTTGTATGGGAAGTTATGATCTTGTTTTGACTGAATAATAAGCACACCAGTCAGTCTATGTGACACATGCACATACACAATTACTAAAATAGCAGAGATTAATAGGAAGGCTGTTACTGTTTCTACTTTTTTACCTGAAGAGTTTACAGTTTTAAATGCTGGATTGAGGTGATTTAGCAGTATTTATAGATGTGCAAATACATGTAAAAGCTTAGTGAAGTCTGGCTTTTTACATTACTTGCTACACACTGAGTAATTAGAAAATAGCCCATAAGTCACAGCAATAGATATGGCCAAAATTCAATGAATGAAAAGTACAGATTTATTCTAGTGTTCTTTATATAGATTACAATAGATTATATTTCTATTTTTGGCTCAGTCATCCCCTCAGAGAAGAGGTTCATAGTAGGAGTTTGGGGATTTAAGCAGGGTATCTGACTCTTGATCCTGGCCTATTTCAAATACCATGGACTTGCTGCATTTATCTGTTTCTAATCTGATTAAATATTTTCAAAGTTTTTGAATGTTAGCATTATAAGTAATAATAAGAAATGTAGCACATCTCCGCATAGATCCTGTGATTTGGCTGCTATTTAAGATTAATTTTTATTTTTAATTGCACTAGATCATTGATGCCAGAGAAGTGTTTTCTAAGAATTTAGAAAGCTCAACTTCCCTGCAGATGGAAAATGACTTAATCATCATATTAGAATGAGGAACTAACATGCCCTGAACCCTTAGACTTGTGTTTTTGCAATTTCTTAATAGTAAAATATTTAGAGTTAACATCTTTAGTTTCTGTATTCTTTATTCACTACATTGATGCACAACTATTGTTTAGTGACAGTGAGAGGAATTTTTCATGATGACCCAGCTACGGTCAGTTTGTAGTGGAGCTTTACATTTTGGAAAGAGTAGAAGTACTGTTTTCCTGTAATTGTATTACTGAATATAATAACTATGCTAGGAAAATATTCCATTGAAATTAGTTAAGTACAGAAAACAGGAAAATCTAGAATATATCATATTGGAAAGCATTAAGGGAAAAAATGATTGAATTATTCCTTACTAATGGGGGGTCCTGAATTTTGATCAGTACAATCAGGGCTTTTTTTGTCATAGAACGCCCAGAACGGAGTTCCAGCACATTTTTTGGATGGAACCTTGTAGGGTAGGCAAGGCAGGTTGTATGACGTGTGTGAGTTCCGGCATCATCTTTTTTTCTTTTTCTTTTTCAAAATAAGCACTGAGTACAATCACATTTTTCCTTTAGTTACAGCAACTTCCATTTTGTCCCAGGCCTTTCTTTGAGAAATTTAGGAAAATGATGTCAGAACAAGTAGTCCTCAATTAACAACAGTAATTGGAAATGGAATTTCCCTCATTAAAGCAATACTGTCATAAAGTGTAACATCACACCAATTAAGCCACAGAAATTCTGGCACTTCTAGTTGCAGTAGTTAAGCAAATCACTGCAGTTTATTAAGTGAGGACGCCATGTGGTCACCCTTTGTGATCTCTTGCCAGCTTCCTCATTGATTTTTCTTATAGGAAGCCAGCAAAATAGACTGCAAATGGCAATCGCATGATTATAGGGATGCTGTGACTCTTGTAAGTCCAAGGACCCGTTGTAAGAACTGCTCGTTGAGAACCATCTAAATTTGAGCCATGACTGTATGAGTGGTTGTTAAGCCAAAGGACTAACCTGTACCTGATTATGCACTGTAAGTGAGCATTTTACATTTGGCATTTTGATATGTAATAAAAAATAACATAATTAAATCAAATTGATATATGAGGGAGCATTGTTTAAAGAAGGATTTGTTTTTTAAAAGATACATCAGTACTGTAGTGTCATTAATGTATATTTTTATATATTTTTCTTGAACATTTTGTGAGTTGCCTTGTATAAACAAATTACTTCTTTTATGCTAGACAGATTATCCTATGTTTTCTCTTAAAGTTGAAGGTAAAAATACAAAGGTGAGATTCAAACAACTAGTCATTATACAAGTAGTCCTCAATTTACAATAGTTCATTTAGTGACCGTTCGAACGGCACTGAAAAAGTAACTTATGACCATTTTTCACACTTATGACTATTGGAGTATCCCTATAGTCACGTGATCAAAATTCAGATTAAATAATAATAATAAAGTTGGAAGGGACCTTGGAGGTCATCTAGTCCAACCCCCTGCTCAGGCAGGAAACCCTATACCATTTCAGACAAATGGCTGTCCAGTCTCTTCTTAAAAACCTCTTGGCAACTGATTCATATTTATGACAGTTGCAGTGTCCCGGGGTCATGTGATCACCTTTTGCAACCTTCTGACCAGCAAAATCAATGGGGAAGCCAGATTCATTTAACAACCATGTTACTAACTTAACAACTGCAGTGATTCACTTAACAGTTATGGCAAGCAGAGTTGTAAAATGAGACAAAACTCACTTAACAAATGTTTCACTTAGGAACAAAAATTGTGGTCATAAGTTGAGGACTACCTGTAGTTAAAATAGCATGTGTGGATTTCAGGGAGCTGACACATTTATTTATTTGTTTTGTTTGCCTGTTTGCCATCCATCTTGCTACAAAGCAACTCTTTATATATATTTCAACTCAAGGTGGCAGACATACCTAATACTCCTGCTAATTGCTAATACTCATTGCTCAAAGTTACAAAGGATTGGACTTTCTTATTCCAAGCTGTCAGAAATTGAAATACTTCTGAAATAATTGAAGTGGCTGGTTTTGACCTTGAAATGAGCAGTGTTGTAGGATTGAGAAGTTATGATTTCTTTGGTGTGCTAAATAATTGTATTAAAACTTTATCACAGTGATATTTAAATAGAACCTAATTAACATAAATGATAGAAATTGTATTCCTGTTTCTGCACCAGGTCACATGATGATAGTGGTAATTATTTTTTAAAAAAGATGCCTGTTCTGTAGTTCTCATGGCTTCACACATTGCCAGGTTGAACAAGTTCAATATTTTTGTTAAAATTTATCTTGTGAAAACGATCTCGAGTTCTGTTCCTCTACAAGTATAATTTTACCATCAAAACTCCACCATAAAATATGCAAAAATAATTGTAATATGTGCACATCATACTAAAGAAGGTTTTTGTTGTTGTTATATCATAATGGACTAAATGGCAGAGTTGTGGTGGATTTTGCATACCATTGAGCTTACATTTGGTTAATTAGTTGTTCCTGTTTTTACATTTGCTACAACTACATGTAAAGACTGGCTGATATCATTTTAAGAGATTTTATTCCCACAATGCAGTGTAAAGTACGGCTGGTTATAAAAATAGTATTTCCTTTTTTATTTGCCTGCAGTATTTTGTGTCTATTAAATCTCTAGTGGCTTTAGAAAGAAATGCCCTGAAAGGTCACATCAACGTTTCAATTAGCAGCTACTTTTCTAGGATAAAAAGACTTTCTTAAAAAATAAATGTTTTTCTGATAGGTTTTCTACTGGTATACTTCGTTCTTCAGTTCTTAGTTCTTTTCCCTTACCTCAGATTTGAGATATTTTCCCATTCTGAATCAGATAAACGTATTCTTACTATATGCTTAAAATGTCTTTGTTTTATTGACAGGTTTGGGTAAAACAAAACGAAAGACAAGTGCTAGAGATGCCTCACCAACTCCTAGTACTGATGCAGAATACCCATCCAATGGTAGCAGTGCTGATAGGATTTATGATCTGAACATCCCTGCATATGTAAAATTTGCCTACGTGGCAGAGAGGGAGGATGAACTATCTCTTGTTAAAGGATCTCGCGTGATTGTTATGGAGAAATGCAGCGATGGCTGGTGGAGAGGGAGCTACAATGGACATATTGGCTGGTTTCCTTCAAACTATGTCGTTGAAGAAGTTGAGGAAGCAACTGCTGATTCACCAAGTTTTCTAAGTTTGAGAAAAGGGGCATCCATGAGTAATGGCCAAGCCATGAAAATTCTTCACATTGTCCAGACATTGTATCCATTCAGTTCTGTCACTGAAGAAGAGCTCAATTTTGAAAAAGGTGAAACTATGGAAGTGATAGAGAAACCAGAAAACGACCCAGAATGGTGGAAATGTAAAAATTCTCGCGGGCAAATTGGTCTCGTTCCGAAAAACTATGTAGTAATCTTAAGTGATGGTCCTACCATTAATACTTCCCACCCTCCTCAGATAAGCTACACAGGGCCTTCTTCTACAGGACGGTTTGCAGGAAAAGAGTGGTATTATGGGGCCGTTACTCGACACCAGGCAGAATGTGCTTTGAATGAAAGGGGATCAGAAGGTGACTTCCTTGTCAGAGACAGTGAATCTTCAGTAAGTAACGATAATTTCAAATTTTATTTATTTGTTTGTTTGTTTATTTATAAAATGTATTGGCTGCCTATCTTACCACAGGGTAACTCTGAGCGGCTTACAATCATATAAATTCAAAATATTGTGATGGATTATGCAGAATATATGAAGTAACAAATTATAGATTTGCCTTGCTATATGAATCAAGTGGAATTCTTCAAAGTGAATATTCATGTGTTGTGTAATACAGTTCTCCTTTCATTAATTGAAAAATAATTTATATAGGGTAAAACAGAATATAAGCATGGTGTACCATTGGTTTTAAACGTTTTTCAGGTATATAGTTTTAACTGGATTTTGTCTTAGCAAATTTAAAATATATCAATGCATAAGCAAATGTTAATAGGAAAAGTTAAGTTAGTTTAATAGATTGAATTTTCAAGGTGTGTGGTAATTGTGTTTGACTTCTCTATTAATCCTGCGCATATGAACTTTCAAAAGGTGTGTTTTCAGATTTTGTGCAAGCTCAGCTCAGCAAAATTTTAGCTAACCTGTTTTTCTTTTGCATCCACTTACATACTTGCTTTTCCTGCTTCTGTTGGCCCCTTTTACCAAAAGGTTTGAAATCTATATATGTTTGAGAACAATATTCCTGAAATCTAACTGCATAGCATTACAGCTAAAGAATCCTATACTATTTTAAAGATTGACTTAATTTATTACAGCAGTAGATGTAATTGGATACAGCTGAATAATTTTCAGATCTTTTTACATGGGCTTTCTCTTGCCACTTCCTGTGGGTTTCATATTACAGCTTTCTACAGTGTTAACCTCAAGATGGACTTAAGTAATATTGAAAAATTTAGTTTAGACCTTGGTTAAATCTCTACATTTTTTCTTTTTCACAATTTTTAAATGTTTCATGCATTGAACTAGTGTTGTTTTGTTACAAAAATTGATTTCTAGATTATACATTATAGAGAGATATATTCTATTTGTTAAGCAGAGTTGATTTACAAAGTATATGCAAAGTATTTGTTTTGTTGGTTTTGATTTAAAAATCATGATTGTTTGGAAGGAGCACTTCATCATCAATCACAGTTTTATTCAATTCTGTGAATCCAGTATAGCCTTAACTAGGAATAAATAAGTTCTAGTAAACATGGTGGAACAGTTTTGAGTCAGTGGGTGATATATTTAGATAGCTGTGATTTTGATCAATCAGTACAATCGAAGTAATGTTTTTTTAATTAAGCAATGAACACCATTAATCATTTAGTTGTGCCACAGTCAGTAAAATGATTCACAGCCTAATTTGAATGCCAGTTGTCATTGAAACTGTGTTTATTTATTTTTAATAAAGATGTAGTAGATATCTAGAGCTGCACCTGATAAAGTTTTATTGCCTTTCCTTCTGAGGATTGTGCATTATAAGTAGTCCTCATTTAGCGACCACAGTTGGGACTGGCAATTTAATTGCTCAGCAAAATGCTTACTAAGTAAAATTGCAGTTGTGCTTATGATCTTACTTTAGTTTGCTTTGCTTAACAGACTTGTGAAAGTCATAAATATAAAAACTGGTTGTAAAGTTAATTTTTTATCACCATCGTAATTGAATGGTTGCTGAATTAATAACGAGTGATTGCTAAAAGATAACTACCTGTATTTTAAAAGACAGTTCCAAACGACAGTCAGGGCTGCACTAATGGGTGGCGAAGAAAAAAAATTGGAATGATGGTGCTCTACTGGATTGGGATGAGAAAAAAAATGTTCACTTTTGTGAAATAGGCAATAGCATAATTCTCTTTTTTGTATCATAAGAATGGTAGGTGAACTCTGGTTTAAAGCCATCTGATAAGCCCCAGAAAGCAGAAGGAGTATATTTGAACATCTGATAACAAACAAATGTTGGAGAATATTTTTGCATTATTATACAGATAGTCCTCGACTTATAACAGTTCATTTAGTGATGGTTCAAAGTTACAATGGCACTGAAAAAGTGACTTATGACCATTTTTCATACTTATGACCATTATAGCATCCTCATGGTCACGTGATTTATATTCAGGTGCTTGACAACCGACTCACATTTTTGATGGTTGCATTGTGCTGGGGTCATGTGATCACATTTTGCAACCTTCTGACAAGCAAAGTCAATGGGGAAACCAGCTTCACTTAACAATTGTGTTACTAATTTAACAATTTATGATTCAGTCATAAAATGGGACAAAACTCACATAACAAATTTCTCATTTAGCAACATAAATTTTGGGCTCAATTGTGGTTGTAAGTCCAGCACTACCTGTACTTGATTTGTATCTTAGTCCCTGGATCACTTCCTTGAAAAATTATGAATAACATAAAATAAACGAGTTCTCTTTGTTAATTCTTTGGCATATTCTTTGAATATGGAATGAGAAGTGCTCATTGAAATGGATAGGGAATTCCAGCCCCATTAGCTGGCTGAAATTGGCATCTCCTTAGAACTGATAATTAGTTATGAGACAATTTTATCTTATCTTTATCTGACGTTTGAGCACACAAGGCCAACTTTGATTCCAATACTTGCTTTACAAGAACTTTTGAGTTTCAGAAATAGCACACGGATTATTATATACTCATCATGACTTTTCATTGGCCTTTGCTGACTCATAATGTTCTTTGTACTTTTTAGCTGAAGAGCAACACAAATTTTCCCTTGTGATCTTTTTGAATAAGTTTAGGACAATTCAAGACTCCAATGCCTTTGGGCAAGTAGTGTTATGCACTTTTTAAAAGATGACCTACTGTGCACTTATTTTGTGAATTACCCTAAATAAAAATCAAATCCAATATTTATAGGTTCAGTTTATGAATTATAGAATTCAAGATATAATATGCTCCATAGGCCTGAACAAACAGAGCGTATAACCATTATCTTCATCAAATAAAATGGAAAAAGCCAAAAGACTTATTTTTTCTGTTTTACATAAATATTCAAATGATATTTTTTTTGACAGGAATAAAGCATTAATTGATGAATTTAATTGTCTCTTACTGAGTGGATTAAGTCAGGAAGCCTTCCTAAATCTGGTGTCCTTAACATTCATTGAGATTAAAAATTGCCAGAATTTTCATTCAGCATACTACTAATTTGGTGATATGTATTAAGTAAAACAAAGGAAATTGTTGAGGCTGTTATTTGGGAAAAGTTATGAGGATGACAGCTATGTGCAAAGCATACAGCAGAATATTTGACAGAAGATTTGTTTCTACATTGCTGTAGCATATAGATAAAGGAGGAGGAGGAGGAGGAGGAGAAGGAGAAGGAGTACAGAATGGGTTCTACAGGATCCTTATGAACTTTGATTCCGGCATGATTTTTCCTATTTATCAAAATGTAATAGACACAAGTGGGTTTGATAGTTGTAATTGATTGTTATAGTTTATCTCCAATATTTTAAGCCCTCCCAAAATACATTACAGTGCATGAGTTCTGTCTAAAATTATATTGGTGATATTATCCTTTCCCCCCTTTTCTTACTTTTAATAAGGTTTTTATTCTTTTCAATGTGTTCCAAAGATGTGTTTTAGTTTTCAGTTAGTAATATTGTGTCTGGGATAAACCTCATTGGCTATCATGTTCCAAAATATGTGTTATAAATATCTAGAATTAACCCATAGATAGAGCTGTGCTTATTTTTAGAAAAGTACGAATTGAAAGATAATTAAGTATTGAAATGGGGGAGGGGAAATAGAATACTGTGTCACTAAGTAGTTATAATTATTTTAATTCTCTATGACAGCAGCCCCCAAACCTTTGGGCACTAGGGACCGGTTCCATGGAGAGAGGTTTTTCCGCAGACCAGAGGGGGCGTGGTTTCGCGTGCTGCCTGCATCCTGTGGATGGGGCTTCGCTTGTTTGCGTGGCCCGGTTTCTGGCATGCTGCAGACCGGTGCTGTTCATCAAATGGGGGTTGTGGCCCCCTGCTCTGTGATGATTAGGGGTTAGTACGCTAGGTTTGTTAGGCCTTTTGAAGAAAGTAGGTTTCTTGCACAAGAGGATGCTGTAATAATGATACTGTACTAAACAGGATGCTTGAGGCTGGCAGACCTGAGTCAGTCCAGCTAATGGTTTTATTAGCTGTGGGTGTTAATTTTGATTAGCTATCAATATATGATGAAACAACTGAGCAAAGAAGAGATAGGATTTGTTTAGGAATGAAAGGCAATATATGAGGTAGAGTGAAAGGAAGAGTGGAGTAGACATTTCCTAATTTAGTGCCACCCCACCTGTATCACAGCAACAGTAATATTGATAAAAAGCAAGCTATTTCCACAAATTGTATACTTCTTGGAGGTATAAAATACCGCAGTGTGTTGTAAAATAACATGTTCATTAACATGATTTTTATCTTCACTGCCTGATTACTACGGGTGAAGAGGTTTAATTGTTTTCATGTCACCTGATTCAAATAGTCAATTTTCCAGCAAAGATCCAAAAGTATGAAAACTTGGGAAATGTACTTTGAGATGTAACTATTTAGAATAGAATTAAAGACTGAAGCCTATCAAACATTTCTTTTTACATTTTTTCCAGATTTTTTTTTTAATTGTTGACCCTTTACACAGGCTGGCTTTGTATTTATCATGGTGACTGACACTGATGAGCTGTGCATTAGAGTTTGACCCATAGCAAGTAACTAGTTCAGATGTCCCCTTAAAGTAGCCATCACGATTGCATGCAGTTCCACTAGTGTTAAGCCTGGGAAAGATTGCTTGCAAACCATCCAGCTGTAGCAACTATGTCCAGTGGGAAAAGTTGCAGAAATATCTGCCAAGAGCTGAAAACCCAAAAGGCAAACAGATGCAAACTATAAAAATAAACACTCTTGAAATGAGTTCAACGGAAGACAGCAGGGAATAGTTTGAAACTGAATTTAACCTCCGCACACTGTAGTGTGCACTGTAACATGCCAAGATGAAGTCTTAAGATTTTATTAATTAAATAGTCACAACAGGAAGAAGTCAAGAATACATTC